GCTGCTCCCCTCAGCAGTGTACTTTGGTCCTTCTGCCTGCTCTGCCTCCCGCTCTGGCTCTGGTGAATTCTCTCACCCTCCTGCGCTTCTGACTGTACCCAGTGCATGTATAAACAAACAAACAAACAAACAAATAAATACATGCCTCTATAAATAAATAAATAAATCTTACAAAAAAACATTGAGAAGTTCCTGGCATAAGGGAGAGCCAAAGAGGCTTTAGCTATAGGAATAATTAATATTAAGTATTAAGTTTTCTATTTTATTGCAATATAAATGACATATAACATTGTATAAGTTTAAAGTGTGCTGTGTGATGATTTGATGCACTTACATATTGCAAAATGATGACCACAAAAGAGTTAACATTTCCATCATCTCACATAATTATGTGCCTTTTGTGTGGAGGGCATGAGAATGTTTAAGATCTCCTCATTTGGCAACCTCAAGTATATAGTACAGTACTGTTAACTGTCATCATAACAATGTGCATTAGAAAAATGTTTCATTATTGTATTGCTGTGTAGGAGTTAATAACCTTCTTTACTTCCAATCTTTGAGAGAGAGAGAGAGAGAGAGAGAGAGAGGAATCATAGGATGTATTTCTTCAATTTTTGTTTCTTCTGAGTTCTCAATCTCCATTATACCTTCTTTCTCTACCAGTTTTTCATCCTCACCCCCCATTTTGAGCCCAATTTTGGATATAAAATTCTGATATTGTATTGGTGTCTTGTTATTAAATGAAAAGGAAACAATTTATATTTACTGAGGAAAAATAAAAATCTAAGGGAAAATATTCCAAGGTTTTTAAAAATTGAAATATTTATATCTCAAAAACATTTTCCTGCTTAAATCCAACTGAAATTTATATTCTATCCTATTAGTTTCCCTGAATTCATTGTTGCTAAATTTAATGTAGTTAAAACTTTATACAGTCACCCTTAAAAGTATAAGGAGATTGCAACTCAAAAGAGGCAAATTTCAGAATCCAGTAGAGAACATTGTTTAATATTAAAAGAGACTAATGACAGAACAAATCTGTAAACAAGTGGAATATTTAAAGGGAACACCCAGTTGGAAAGGCAATTGAGCGTGAGGATCAAGGTTCTTTAGTAATTGTCCTTAGGTACCAAGCAACGCTCCATTATAGAACAGAAAAAGGAAAAATGACACCAGAGTGAACTACTCGATTCTGCTAAATAACCACAAAGGTAAAACCTTCTTTTTGGGTTCAGGCTTCTAGGCATTAAAATAGAATTTTTGGATTAGGCTCAAAAGATATAACCCACTATGTGTTTAATACTCTCATATTTCACAGAATTTTAGTCCTTATACAGCCATGAAAATCTGTAAAAATGAATGTCAGTAGTCACATTTTACAAATGAAAAGAAAAGCACATAGGAATGCTTTACCCAAGGTGAAGATCAAGGTCATACAGCTATGATAAGGTGGTCTTAGACTCAAATCTAACCCTGGGTGACACCAAAGTCTATGCTCTTTGTACCGTTTTTTATAAAGACAATTTCAGCTTACTCGCTTTTCCAGCTTTGAAGAAGAGACTTTTCAAAAGTATTAGTGAAAAATGTGGTTTTCTCTCTCCTGTCAACCTGAACATTGACAATGAACATATCTCCAGGGAAAGAAAACAAGTGATTCCCAAGACCAAATAGGTTGACCCTGCAATATTGTCACATTCTCAAGTACCTTATAAACAAATAAAATCTGTATTGAATTCAAGCAAGTTTTAATATTGAGCGATTTTATCATTCAGATTCTTTGTAAATATACTCAGACATATGGTATAGTTGGCAAGTTCACATGCAATTTCATCAGTTACCATGGAAACTCTTGAGTGTCTCATTTCTTATCAATTGCTCATGCCATCCCTGCCATCACTAAGCATCACTATGAATGAATGACTTTTCATATTCCTAAACTCAAATTATATTTATCATCACTAGAAATATACAAATAAACATCTCCCAGGCACAAAGGCAGCATCAAAAGAAAACACTGCAAAAATGTGTTGTATAATGGTAGCTATAATGTACAGCTTTCCCCATGATGACTTGTTTGGGCGATTGTGTTCTTGAGTGGTGTCTAGTGGCAAATCAAAGACAGTATTTCCTTCCTCCTAAGATATCTATGTGGTGATATTGGAGGTCCACCCACTTATGTCACAAGTCACTCACTCTTCTTCAAGTGCTGTTTCTCAGTGATACTTGTGTGTCTTTTAAAATTCTAAGAAATTCTATTCTAATTCTATTCTAAGACAACTTCCTCACTAGGTAAGTTGCCAGGATCTAGATATTTTATTTTGGGACATGATGCATGGATAATTCCTCACAAAAAATTCCCATCAGGACTCAGTTTTTCAGGTGACTGAAATTGTTTAAATTAATTAAGTGTTTAAATCTCATTAATTGTTTAAATTAATGAAAAATGTTTCTCCTTATATTAAAAGCAGAAAAGCTGAAATCAAATACCAACTTTTTGACCTTAGGAAATTTGCTCTGTTTATTACTTTTTGCCATGAAACTTGGGTTAACACCTAAGTTGTACATAAGGCATGGTTACTGAGGTGGTGTTGTGGGTGCCGGGGGTGCGAGAATAACTAGGTGTGATTTTCTAACATAACTTTCTAATGTGGTTCTAAAAGTCCTATATAAGGATTTTACTTGGTCCTTCCCTTCTGGGTTTATTGTATTTAATTTGTATCTGTCGTTTTTGATTGAAGCTTGCTCTTGGTAGTTCTGTTTACACTTTTGGGATGAATTTAAAGACTTAAATGTGAGGATCAAGTGATTAATGCATACTTAAGCGTCAGCAAGTAATAGAACCTTGAATTTAGACATTAAGGTGGAACTGACCTGCATTTTTACTGTATTGTTTACTAACTATGCACCTTATCTCTTTGGTAAGGTGTAAAATAGAAATATCTTTGGTAAAATAGAAATATCTTGCAGGGTATGTATGAGCCCCAAAAGAGATCACATGAATCAGTAGCTATGGCAATGTCCACCACATAATGGTTTTTCTATTCATATTGTATTCTTTTCTTAACTATGAGGATATTAATATGAAAATCAATTTAATAAAATAAACATTGCCTGTAAGATATGTAAAAGGTTCAAAGTGCTAAGGAAGTACACAGGGGTAAATGAAACCTGGTTTATACACTCAAGATATCTATAATCCGGTAGGGACATGGAGGTGAAAATAGAGGAGGATCATATATAAATAAACACATCATGTAACTTATGATTTATCATCTTAGTTGGAGATATGACTCTGAAAAGGCTAGCCCCAGATCTGGGGCAGAGATACAAACTGAGGTTGTCCCAAGAAAAACAAGACATATGGTCACCTTCTCTGCAAGGGATATGCCAGGCTGGAGAAAGGGAGAATAAATTAAGCTGACTTCCTGCAATTGCATCAGGCCAACTTTTAGACCAGTGACTGATATTTTGTGTTTGATCACGTGAGATTCCAGAATGTTCTGGCTTCCAGTCTTCTCTTCCTCGCAGTGTGTTACCTAGAAAAATGCTTAAATTCAAGAAGGGGCCCACCCTTCAAGATCTTGTACAAATGCACCTCCCCCATCAGAAACAAAACATTCCCAAGCAGGTGGAGGAAAGCGTGGTGCCATTAAGCTTGTCTTCTTAATGTGTTTATTTTTAGTCACCAAAGAAGGTCCATGGGATTACAGTCAACTTTACTGTGGAAGAGTAAGACCTCATAATACGTAACAATAAAAGAAGCTGTGTTTAATTTTGTCTGTGTGTTAAATTTAGGAGCTTCCATATAACTTTCTCAAAAGAATCAACTGACACCATTCCTACTCAAGAGGAACAATTCAATTTTTAGGAAGTGTGGTTTTGACCATCCATATGTGGTATATCTGGCACTGCTTTCCCCAAGGGAGATCTTCTACTTAATTAAAGGGTTCTGGTCTTGAGTAACCAACTGAACTTGCTAATCTACCATGAAATACACACATAGACACAGATGCAAAAAAAACAAAAAAGAAGAGGGGGATTTAAAAAGTCAGTTGATGATTTTGTAAGGCAGAAGTAAATTTTTAGTTTTAATAAACAGATTTTTTTTAAGATTTATTTATTTATTTATGCAAGCACTGGATACAGTCAGAAGCGTGGGAGGGTGAGAGAATTCACCAGAGCCAGAGCGGGGAGCAGAGCAGGCAGAAGGACCGAAGTACACTGCTGAGGGGAGCAGCGGGCCGCAGGAGAAGTCTGCGTGCCATGTGGGACCCTCCTCCGGTGGCTGGGGAGCAGCCGGGGATCGAACCGGCGCTGCAGAGGCTGCGGGCAACTTCGCAACCCAGCGCTCAACCGCTGCGCCACCGGGGAGCCCAATAAACAGATTTTCAACAAACACAACTATCATCAAGTGTGAATTCTTTTTCAAGCTCTGCTCCACACTACAAGTATGAAGAAACTTATGAAAGCTTGTGGCTTAGTTTCTTTAGCTATAAAATCGGAACAGCATTATGAAAGGTAAAGGTAACACGTAAGATAATGCTTGAAAGTTCTTAAGATATTTAATGCAGGATCATATTTGTAGGTGGAGTTCAATAAACTGTATCTCAATAAATGCTCTTACTACTGAGAATATAAAGTTTATAAATATACAACTTGAAAATCGTGAAAATTTTTAAAACTTTTACTTAGCAATTTTCACACAACCAGGTCTATTTTTCCTTCAGTTAATGATTTATTTTTGGACTTTGGATTTTGTTAATCGTTATTCTATCTAGTAATAAGATGTCACTGTCTTCCTACACCAAAGTGTAAAATGTAAATTTAGCTAACATTCTAAGACTTTATGACATGTAAAATTTCAGGGAATAGCCACTGAGTATAAATGGAAAGATAGGACTACTTGTTAGGATACAAGAAGACATTCTCAGTGATTTTAGGAATCTGAATCATCTTGGATGAAACCTTTCTATGAGTTTATTTCATGCCTCTCTTTCCAGAAAACAGAGGAGTCACCAAGTTCACTGAGTGGCCATGACATGCAACCTTGTTCCCAAGGTCAGTCCATGGAAAAGAGCCTATAGAAAGGAAAAGAGAAAAGAAATGCTCTGCTGTGGACCTCTCTATTCACTCTGTGCCAGTCAGAGGAGGAAGCATTGCATGAGGAACTCAGATATCATGTAAGGCCCCTTGCTTCTTGAAGCAGAAATCACAGTTTTTTTAGAGTCCCACTAATTAAACTACCTATGGACACTTCCACAATTTTGTTAATTCTCAGTAGTCTTTATTTTGTATGGTCAATGATAACACCAACTAGAACATAAGACTAGACAAAGGAGAGTTTACTGATCTGAGCACTCTCTTCTAGGATATGTTCACACCTTGGCAAAGACCCCAGGGAAGGGTACAAATTCATTACTGGTATGATTTCTAGAAGGCTAAAGTCATAGCAACCCATTGTCATGAAGCCAAGTGTCTGAATTGACATGGCAGAGAAAGGAACTAATCTGCTCAGATCACCAGTCTAATCATGATCAAAATATTAAAGGCAAATTAGGGGCATTCTACAAAACAGATACTCCTCAAATCTCTCAAGATTATCAGAAACAAGGAAAGAATGAGCCCAAGAAACTGTAAAACTGAGGGGATATAACAAGCTATGTGATATCCTTGGTGAAACCGAGAAAAAGGGTATTAGGTAAAAAACTAAGGGAATCCACATAAAGTTTGAACTTTAGCTAATAGTAACATTAATATTGGTACATTAGCTGTGACAAATGTGGCATAGCAATATAAGATGCTAATAATAGAGGAAACTGGGGGCTATATGAAAACTCACTGTAATATTCCTACTTTTTTGTCCATCAAAAACTATTTGGAAAGCAAAAGTCTACTAAGAATAAGAAAGTATGTTCAGGTAAGTGGCAAAGTCGTGATGATGGCCAAGGTGAATTAAGTCAAAGAGAGTCATGGAGATAGTTTATAGAACACAGGGCACTGATACCATGTTCCTCAAAGTCTGAATTACAGTGTCCAAAGTCTAATTACTGGGTCCATGAGCTCATCTGGTGGTGATTTCCTCAGTCCATGAGTATATGCTTGTCACTGAAATCTTTGGCAACTGAAGGAATCTTTGCACTGGATTCTTGGTCTATGGGAGTTGCTAGTACAGTGAGGAAACTGGGTAGAAAATTCTGAAACTGCCCCCTATACCTAATCAAAATAGTAAATCAGAAACATTGTCACATCTTAGGGGATATGGCAGAGAGATTAAAACATTAAAAGATTTAAAGAAAACAGGAGAGTACTTCTCATATTTCTTGTCATTTGCTAGTTGGAGCTCCTATAAAAATCAGATGAATCCTGGAAAATTATGTAGACTATCAAAAATAGCCACAATTATAGATATTATGTTGAAGAAAATATTTTCTCTACAACTATTTCCAATAGCCAACATACATAAACAACCTAAGTGCCCAACAACAGATAAATGAATAAAGATGTGATACACACACACACTCACAATGGGGTACCGCTCAGCCATAAAGCAAGATGAAAACTTGCCATTTGCAAAACCATTGATGAAATTGAAGTAAATAATACTAAGTGAATTAAATCAAAAGGAGAAAGACAATTACAGGATGATTTTACTCATATTTATAATATAAAGAAACAAAGCAAAGGAAAAAGTGAAAACAATATCTTGAAATCTAACTTCAGAGCTGAGGTGACCTAAAGTAGAGGTGAGGAGCTAGGAGGGAGGAGGGTCAAAGGACTTTGGTGGTTTGGTGGTGAACATTGTGAACAGTGTGCAATAACACACATGACCCTATACTCCTAAAACATTTAGTGTTATAACCAACATGATACCTAAATAAAACACAATTTAAAAAATTATTAAGGATATTTTTTGCTAGAACAGATTGATATATGATGGCTTTAGGAAAATGGTGTGTGACCATTAATTTGTGGATGTATTCCTTATAATCGTATCAGGATTGAGAATGAAAAACTGAACAATATGTTCACAGTTTTACTCTAGGATTATTATGTGAAATCTCCTCTCTGTCATAGTATAGTGAAGAGATCTGAACTGTCCCTGTGTGCTGCAGAATAGCCCATGATCCAATACATAATACCATACTGATGGACCAGAATAAGCAAAAGGTGACTATCATGTGAGAGTCTTTAAGACATGTGCTGCAGAGGCAAGTAAATAATCCCAGGGATGTACAGAAATTTGTGACTTTGATGGAGGCCAGAAATCAGGGATATGTCCAGACCTTCCTTTAAAGGACCAATTGTGCCTCATACATATCCTCAAAGAGATCTCATTCCTGGAAATCTCTTTTATATCTAGTGCCAACCCATTTCATACCTAGTAATACTGCTCTGGTCCATATGTTGGATGCCCTGAAAGGATATTGGCTTTGACTGAGGCCCAGAGAAGGAAAGGGATCTTCAGCAGGTTCAAGCTGCAGTTTAAGTGGACTTGCCAGTTGGGCCATATGTTCTAATAAAATCTATGGTCTTGGAAATAACATTGTTGAAAAAAGATGCACAGTGAGAAAACTAGAGGGTAGGCTCTTCGTTCTGGATTCTGGTAGACAAAATTTGGCCACAAATCAAGTGACCATATTTTTAGAACTTCCCATCATGAACCGTGCCTGTTGGACTCAGTCGTAAATCCTGGCAGTAGTTCCAGGAGAAATTCATTATTATAGGATAGATTTAAATCTTTTAAATTTAGCATTGAGTACAAGCAAACCAAGTTTCATTTCAGACCATGGGTCTGTGTGGATTCTAAGTTTAAGCCAAAACTGAGTGGTAGCTGCAATGCAGTCTCAGGGTGGGCTCGGGAACAGCACTATTACTCAAGTAAATCAGTCAGTCACTTGAAAAACCCAATGATTCATTCTCCGAGATGCAAGTATGGGTTTTTCTTTCCTGTCCACAGAAACTCAGACGGCGCCACCCGAAAAAGGAATACCACCTTCTTTTCTTCATTTACACACATCCATAAAATTGCAGCAGGGCTTTTAATGTGGTGCTGACTTTAGTAAAGCTTTGGAGAAGATGAGAGAGGGAGAACTGTTTTATGTCACCACAATGCAAGCAACCTCAGATTGAGTACTAGACATTCCTGTTCTTAAAGGGTTGCTTTTTTTGTGTTCTGTTACCCTCTTATATTTTGGTCATTCATTCCTTCTCTTTTCTTTCCTTTCCTCTCCTCTTCTCCTCAGGAGTAAAATCAATCAACTAACTAATCATGTAAAAATCCTCCCATTTTTTCTTTAGAGTAATTCCATTCTTACCCCCTAACACAGTTCTGGACCTCCCTTTGAAAATAAAGTTAATGCTCTAAGAGCCTAGTACTTGTCTACTATGGGAGTAGGGGTGTTAGTTCTACCATATACAAATATAATAGAATACATATTTAAGATGTTTTAAAATAAAATCTTTGAACTGATTTATTAGAAAACATAAACGAATAATTTTTTTTTTCTAAAGATTTATTTATTTATACAACACTGGGTACAGTCAGAAGCACGGGAGGGTGAGAGAATTCACCAGAGCCAGAGCAGGGAACAGAACAGGCAGAAAGACCTAAGTACACTGCTGAGGGGAGCAGCGGGCGGCTGGAGAGGTCTGCGTGCCATGTGGGACCCTTGCCTGGCAGCCAGGGATCGAACCGGCACTGCAGAGGCTGCGGGCAGCTTCGCAACCCAGCACTCAACCGCTGCGCCACTGGGGAGGCCAAACTAATAAAATTTAAACATGTTATTATGATTCCAGATTTAGGTCTATCTGGTATCTATTTTGCCTAAAAGATAGCATTATTAGGGGCCTCCCTGGTGGTTCAAGGAGTTAAACTGCAGCACTATGAAGCTATCCACAGCTCGTACTTCTACTTGTACTACTATCCACAGTAGTACGAGTTCCATACCGGCCAGGGCAATAACCCACATGGTGAGGCAGACCTCTCCTGATTCACCCGCTGCTGCCCTCAGCAGTTTATTTCAGTTAATCTGCCTGTTCTGTTCCCCACTCTGTCTCTGTTGAATCCTCTCACCTCCCCCTACCCCACACCTCTGACCTGTACCCCAGTTCTTGTATGCATAAATATTTTTTTTAAAAAAGATAGCAGTATAAGATGTAGGCATAAATTTATGTGAGGATCAAAATTTTCTATAATTAATGTGTTTAGAATTATTCACAGAAGGAAAATTCATGGCTGGGTTTTAAGAGATCTTGTTCTACGGCCTAATTTTCATCTTCTAGAAAATGCCTGTGTATAAATAACAATGCTCTTTCTTCCTGCTTCATGATATTGCCAAGTGAAAGAATTAGAAAATGAGAAACAATGTAGAAGGATTTCAGTTTAACTAAATTACATTTGAATAAAACATCTATCATGAGAAATATTATGTACATATGTACAATTATGTAATTGTAACATATACACACACATACACACACATGAACATATTATGTGCGTATGCAAACTCTGCATTCAAAATTATTGGTAGTGAAGACTTTAGGGAGCCAATGGTTCCAGTGAGGGATCTGCAAACTCAGATTGCAGATCCCTCTCAAGTGGTTCTCAAGTCAAATTCAACTCTAGTTCGATTTTCCTGTCCTTTTCAATAAAATACTGCAGCAGGAAAGCTCGGACCCCTTATTTACTATTGTCTATAACTGCTTTCCTGCTAAAATAACAGTGTTAAATACTGTAACAGAGCAATTATAGCCCACCAAGCCAAATATTTACAGTCTGTAAAGAATAAAATATTTACTGTCTTTTCATTTACAGGAAAAGTTTGTCAATCTCTCATCTAACTACTAGAAAGATAAGGTATATACAATAAAATGTATTTATATACTGTGGTCTAATCTGAATTGTGAAGTGGAATACACATGCAGTTTTTCTGATCATTCAAACCAAAACCAAATTTTGTTTTCATCATGCCATTATTTTAAATGGAAGAGTTTTAAGGTCCAAGTGAACCTGACGATTGTGCTTCTCTCCACGTAACTTGTATTGCTTGTGAAAATTAGACTAGGGAATTTTCAACATTTTTACAACTCTCTCTCTAGAGCTTTCTCAGAAACCACAGAAGGCACAAGGAATCATTATTCCCTTTTCTGCTTCCAGCTT